CAGGGCCCGAGTTCCCTGCAGGCCCCCAGGTCTGAGGGCCAGCCACTCTCCCAGCTCAACAACCCCCACTGCCCTGCCTCCTCCTGTAGACAGCCCGACGCCCCGGGCTAAAGAACGACAGTCTCGACAGTCTCGTTACAACCTGATTTAACGCTATGGAAGCAGCTAGGAGATGCATGAGGTCAGTAGAGAGTCTTATTAGAGAAATACATCCTGCAGGCAGGATCCAGCTGCAGCAGACTGGCCTGGCCAGGGGTCCCCAGGTGTGGGAGAGGGGCACACCCCACAGCCAGTACTCCACATGCATCCCCCATGCTCTGTCCACTGGGAACAGAAAACCCACCTGGCCCCACCCACCTCCAGGTACCTCTCCAGGGCTCTTCCCTCACACTACAGGCCCCACCCCTTCCTGGGCGTCCTCTAGCCCGTGCCCTGCACTCGCACTCACAGCCACAGGCCTTGCGGTTGCACAAGCGGCCCTCCTCCAGCACCCCCTCGCAGCCGCCGCCCTCCACGCCTGGCGCCGGCAGGCAGGTGCGTGTCCGAGTCTGCAGGCCGCCCCCGCAGTCCCTCGTGCACTCGCCCCATAGGGACCACAGCTTCCAGCCGCCTGTGGGGAAACCGCGGTGGGGAGGGTGTCAGGGCCCTGCAGGCCTGGGGTGGGGCAGGGGGCAGGCAGGCCGGGGCCTGGTCGCCTACAGTATGAGGCGAGAAGCAGAGGCCTGTAGGTACGCAGCAGGGACAGTGTCTGGAACAGTTTGGATGAGAGGGCCTTGGGCGTCTGGTGTCCACCATGCCCCTGTGTGCCCTCTGGAAAGCTCCAGCCACAGCCCAGCCAGGAGGTCTCCAGCGCAGTTCAGGGACCAGTTCCGGCCCAGGCAGTTGACAGAATCTAGGTATCCAGCCTGCAGCCTCTGCCACAGGGTCCGGAGGGGACCGAGGGAGGAGGCACCTGCCAAGGCCTTCCTTCGCAGTGCTCAGTGCCCTCCCCACAGCCCTCTACTGTCTCTGGCCCGGGGCCTGCTCCTCAGAGCCTCAGGTTCCCCATCTGCACAGGACAGGCTGGCCTTGGTCAGTGCCCAGGCCTCTACTTCCCCTTCTGCCCCACACGGGACACCAGTGGCCAAGGCCCCAAGCCTGTGGACAAGCAGGGGCTCACACCAAGGGTCCAGCCTGGCGCGGGCCGGGCGGCAGTGGCCACTTGCTGAGGGTCCAGGGCACAGAGGCCTCCAGGCGCCGCCCAGCCACACCCCTGCCCAGGCCCCAGTCACCAGCTCCACCCTCGTGGGGCTTCTCCTGTCCCAGCCTGGTATTACCCACCACCTTTCCTGACTCGGGCTCCCGCACAGCCACGACCTTGTGCCCACAGCCCCTGTGAGCCCACAGTGGTGCAGGGAGCAGGGGAGGGCTGCTTCCACCCCAGGGCCAGGATGTGGGCTGGGTTGGGGGCTACGGGGCGGGGTTGGGGGCTACGGCAGGGGCTGGCCAGACCCCAACCACCGCTGTGTCTTCTGCGGAGTCAGGCCCAGGTGTGGCCAGGGCAGCAGGGCCAGGAGGGCCTCCCCAGGTGCCCGCTCCTGGCTGGGCTCAGGCTGGGCACATGGCCCTCATCATCCCTGGGGACCATGCCATTGCACTCAAAGGAGCAAGGACGCCCTTGGGACCCACACGAGCTGGGGCTGCTGCTCACGCTGTCTTCGGGGAGCACCGGAGGCCAGGCTGCCCCCAGGCTAGAGCCAAGAGCCCCTGCCCCAGGGCCTGGAACCCTGCTGACCAAGGGCTGGCCACAGCCCGC